GTCCCTGTTCAGTCCCTGTTCAGTCCCTGTTTCGGTCCCTGTTCCGGTCCCTGTTCGGTCCCTGTTTAGTCCCTGTTCGGTCCCTGTTTCAGTCCCTGTTCGGTCCCTGTTCAGTCCCTGTTCGGTCCCTGTTTCAGTCCCTGTTCAGTCCCTGTTCAGTCCCTGTTTCAGTCCCTGTAATCACTTCTACTTATTCACTTTGTCTTAAGCACCGTGTGTCTCTGCTCGTCTCCTCCAGAGATTCACCGAGCTGGGAATGTCCTCTCCTGCAGTCCAGGGTCTGACACCAAGGTAAGTAGAGCACTCCATAAAAAACTGTATAAACTAATAAATAATACACTTCATCTCTGGTCACTTCTTCTTCCGATTGATAATGACGTCCTGATTTCCACCAGCGTGACTGTTTTCCTTTGGGTGAATTTTAAAAGAAGCGTCATCTTTATTTTATTTGGTTTAACGGATCAGGTCCAGGTGTCTTCACTGGTTCCACACAGACCATAAACACACAAACATTTATATTTATATTTTGGGTTTTATTTTGTACCTCATAGAAGACATGTATAATTAAGGAGACTGATGACCCTGTTGTTAGCATTCATGCCATCACCGGCACAGACACACATTTCGGTGCTATCACTGGTTTTATAGGCGATGCTGAGCCAAAGGTTTTAAAGGCTGTGGTAATATTAATGTGAGGAACCTGCAGCTGAGGAGAATCCCAGTCAGTGTGTTGGGACACTAAATCCTAACGAAGTGAAAGGGAATGGTATTTGGTGTGTGTTTCAGGCAGGGCCTTGGCTCGAGCTACCTGCCACCAGGAGAAGCAGCAGGACACGGCGAGCAGCTCCAACCGGACAGCCTGTACTCCAGCAGGGGCCTCTACACCGACGAGCTGCCCTCATCGGCCAGACCTCGTCCAGTAGGGGGAACTACAGGTACGGAGGACATCAGAACAGTCATGAATTACTAAGACGGTTATCTTCAGACTGCTGCACCGCCCCGTAAACAAAGCCCACGGCGTGCACGCGGCTAACACCTCGTTTACACCTTCACAGCCCAATTTAAGTATGAAATGTTTTCATGGGAAAAGTTCCAAGAAACACACATCTCTGAAAACAATACGTGAAGGTAAACTCGCTTATTTATCGTCTTCAAAGAGAATCTTTTGTCAGTTTGTAGATGACTTCTGGACGTGGCCCACAGTGCTCTGAACACTCACGTTATTTCATTTAAGCTGTAATTACAAATGATATTTCCCTCTGCAGATATGCCAGCAGCCTGTTTACAGAATAGCCTCATGTCAGTTACAGCAGCATCACCACTACAGTAGATTTTACTCGTTTTATCGGAGCCTTATGCTGCTTGTGGGCGGCTTCACTTATGAGCTGCTCCAAACTGAAAGATGGAGAGATAGATCCATAGATTATTAGATTCAACACACACCTCTGCCCCACAAACCGAAGGCGCCTTGTCTGTGTTGTGCATTATTAAAGGAGCTGACGGGATTTCACTGCCTCCATCTGACTTAAAGAAACGCATTAACCGTACAGACAGTAGACACGGAGAGCTTCTCAGGCTGCAGTGATTGCATCTGAGTGTGTTAGGAGGGCTGCTGAGGATCGAGTGTCGAGTAATGTAGCTCTGCTCTGATCTGTGTCTGTAGGCGCCCAGCTCCACCATCTCACACAGGTGGGCCTGTCCAGCCGGATGAACGGCTTCCCAGCAGGGGTCAGGGCTGCTCCGGGCCAGAACGGAGGCATCGGCTGGAGCCATTACCACGACGACAACTTCTCCAGAGTAGAACCGGAAAAAGATGCAGTGAGTGAATCGCAGCTTACATTTTGTTAAGGCCGGTGTTTTCTACCCACTGAAGACCTTTTTAGTTTACCTCGTTGACGTGTCCTTATCATGTATGATATGCTAGAATAGATTCAGACTTCTGGGGTTTTGTACATCACAAACATCTACGTGCAGGGTGGAGCTTCCCTAATATTATTACTGTAGAGAGTCAGTTTCCAGTTTGACCTCATACGGCTGATTTACTCCAACATTACAACGTGCTCTTTAGTAGTTTTGAAAGCGGACAAAGATCTGTACGTTGTAGAGAAAACCCATCTCAGCCATTTTAAGGCATGAAGGAATTACTTTCATGGAGAAAAAAAGCTAAACATGTCATTTGGTACATGGAGGTGAGTGTTTAGGGACGATTTAACCCCTAAAATAAAATCTAATAAAATCACAGGATGTTTCATTAACAGATCTGCCTCATCCAGTTTGAGTAACGCTTCCTAAAAACTGCAGTTATAAACATAAACCAGTGTTTTTGTGACCCCATTTAAACATTTGCATCTTCAATAGAAAGACTGTTTGTTCATGCAGATATAGAAACACGGTAGGAACGCGGGTTCTCCAGCAGAACGCAGCTGATCAGATGCTTGAGGATGATATAGAGAAATGTCAGGCTGAGCTGTTGGGTTGTCTCTCTTACTTACTTATTTGTTTGTTTTCATACCTGTTTAGTCTCTAATGGTTGCATGTTGTTATTCTCCAGCTCTCTGCTTCTGTCCCTTGACATTCTTCTCACATCGTGTCTACATGTTCCTCTCTTTTTCTCTCCCTTCCTTCTCGTCTTCCCTTCCTGCCTTTAGTTCCTGGAATGTCCTGAACACTCGTCCTCCTCTATCTTCCAGATGCACAGGGGTGGTCTAAGGGAGCCTACAGCGCCCCCTGCCCACCTGGACGTCCAGGGAGTGGGCTACCTGACGGCCCCGCCACCCCTGGACACGTCTCCTCCAACGCACTCCTCCGCCTCCCTGATCAAGGCCATCAGGGAGGAGCTGTTGCGTCTCTCTCAGAAACAGGCGGCTGTGCCCAGCTACCACAGCTGAAGGCCTCGCCGGCTTCCAGTCTCCAGCTCTAACCAGTCACGTCACTGACCCTGCCTGCCTGCTTCGCCTAATCTGACAATGCTTCCCGTGGAAGTCCCCGAAGCTGTACAGCAGAGAGATCGTCCTGCTGAACTGAAGTGAAGACGTGGCTCGATGAGAGGCTGCTCTTGTGAAAAGAAACGACGACCAGGATGGTTGACAGGTCGAATCAGAGACTGTAGGAAGAGCAACATGAGCAGGGCTGAGAGGAGGCGGACATGCAGCGTGGGGACTCGTCGTTTCTTTCCTGCACTTCATCGTGGATCAGGGAAGGATGAGATCCAGTTCTGGCTACTGCAGATCCACGTGTTGGACTCATTTGAGATTTTGCTGCATTTCTTCAGACTCTGCGTCGTGATTTCATCCTTACATCGCCTTCACAGAGAGAAACTCTTAAGAAGTTTCTTCGTTACGTCGCTTAGGCTACCATAGATTGATTTCTTGTGTTCAGCGCAGGCCCTTACCGTTTCACCATCAGGTGCTACTTCCTGTTTTCTGCCATGATGAGCCATGCTATGCCTTGACACTGTGACGCAGTTCAGCCGACCACGTCTACTGTTGGAGGTGGTAGTTCACAGCCAGCGGGCACCGAGGGGCGTCCATACACGATAACAGCACTCCTTAATACTACCTATTCTTTCTTTACTTACTGCAGTAGAACAGTGTTAGTCTGACTTGATATTTTCTGACCTCTCGACTTACAGTGCATACTTGTTTTTTCACGTTAAAGTCCTGTTTTATACATTATTTTTTAATAATGTTTTTGATTAATGTTAATGACAGCTAGACAGAAAAGTAAAAAAAAAAAAGGCCTTGAAACACTTCACGCATCATTTCAGAGGCAGGCGTCGGACAGATGTGTTACCAATAATCAATGACAGTATGTACTTGACAGTTATGAACATTTATTACTGTACGTATTCAGTATTGGGTTGTTATTCGATGCACTGTATGCAGACTACTTGGTACAGCTCAGGTTTTTGGAGAAAGAGATTCCTCGCAGACGAATCGGTAGAAGAAGAAAAAAACTCTAAAAGGTCACGTGGAGGAAACTGTAAATTAGGGAAAGTCACAGTCAGCAGTATTCTGTTTTGTGTATTGACTATATACTGGACCACCTTCTCTGTTTCATGCAGTATTTGAAGCTTGTTTTGCCTTTTTGTTCGCACAGGAAGGAGAAAAAAACCGTGTACTGTATTTCCTGTCATCTATGGTTTACATCGACCAGTCGTTTTCTTTAAACTGCTTTGAATTAACCTTGCCTCATGTAATTATGTTCACCGAACTGTCTCCTAGTCATCGTACTGGTTGGAAATCATTCCTTTTTCTATTATTATTATTTAGACATGACAATCCCCGGACATGTTGTGATGTTTTGGGGCCTGAAGTGATAATTTATTTAAACGAAATAAAAGAGAAAATTATGGATTTCTAAAAGCAGGGCTTGAAAACATGTCTGTGGAGTGTGTGCCAGTATTATCAATGTCCAGGCCAGAGTTTACATCCCATGTCGTGTTTTGTTCTCCGTGTGATGTGCCTTTTGGACTCACCTGAGCCAGTTTAGCATCGCGGTGGACAGATACTCTCTGTCGGTGCTGTAAAACTCTCAGTTATTCATCCCTAATTAAAGCGACGTTACTCTGAGAGCGAAGGCTAGTAGTCCGCTCTTTTACTATACTCGGTTTTGTAGCATAAACCAGATCAAAGTTTTACTGGTTCTCCCCTCGCCCAGACTCCACCTGTCCACCAAGTTTCATGACCCGGTAGTTTTTTTATAATCCTGCTTATAGACAAACAAACAAACCAACACAAGGTAATGAAAACTTCATTTCCTTGATGAAGGAATAAACTAAATCACAACGTTGCATCGTGGCTGTCGGATGCTTCAGAAGACGTCTGACTGAATGAGATGGAGCAGCATCCAGGTCACGGTGACGCTGTCGTTTCTGGTCGTCCATCCTTTGTTCATGTTCTGTCACCAATCTCACACTGTATGCCTCCACCTGCTGGCGCTGTACTGTAACTACACCTCGTTGTGTTCACCTTTAGTTGCTTTTTTGTTGTCATTTCTTTTTCATCTTTTTTTTTTCTACATGATATGCTTTGTAAAAGAAAAGAACAAAACTCCATGTGTTGGCTGGTCCAACTCCGGCTCCTGTTGCATGTTTATTTGTCGTATTTCTTTGGTTTGTTTGGGTTTTTTTGCGCATGCTGTTTCAAAAGTTCTTGAAATACAAAAGAAAGTGTCACCAGACGTGTGTTTGGAGTCTGAATCAGCTTCATTGTGATTTGTTTTCATTTGAATGAGCTCATGTCATTTCATTCACTCTTTTTATCAGACGTGTTTTCAGGAGCTGTAGTGGCCACAAACAACCAGAGGGTGGCAGCACTTTACAAGAAACGCTGACAGAGATGCTCCCTCGCTGCAAATGATGTAACCAGCTCTCAAGGATAACTGTAGGAGCCTCTGCAAGGAGGTCGACCCACGTGCTTTTACTTTACATTTAATGAATTAATGAGAGGAGCAGCGCGAGTCATTCAGACGGTGAGGTCTACGGAGCTGATTTGTTTAAGCTTCGTTTACCAGCAATAGTTAGAAAATCTGAACAAAGTCCTATAGGCAGCAACGTAAATGTAAACTAGTGTGTGAACAGCATTCAAGCAGGATTTCCCTCAAACACATGAATGAGTGAAGACGTTCTGCCATGCTGTGGGTTGTTATTTATCTTGCTGCCGTCTCTCCTGCCCATGCACTGACTTCTATCTCATCCCATCAGACGCTTCTCCCCTCTAATCCCATCACAGGATCTAAAGCCACTGAGTGATGCGGCTAAATGCTCAGCAAATCTCCTGAACTGACTCCACGGAGGGCGGCCGGCGCTCCACTCGGCGAGCATCACACATCACCCTCCTGACATCCGGCCCCGTCCAGGCAGCGACCTTCGGTGCTTTGACAGCCAACACAGCAGCAAAAATAATAATAATCGGGTCGTTTACTGGATGAGGTGATGACTTGTTCTGCTGCGGTTCCTTGTGTCTGATCTCCTGCAGGGCTTAAGCTGTTTAACTCTGGTCTCCTCCATGACATTGTGTCCATGCTCAGGAGATTAGGCCGCAGCGAGAGAAGAAGTCTGTTGTTTCAAAGTTATAGTCTGGTGCCAAGGTTTCAGATCTGCCAACGTGTCCGCTCTCTCTCATTTCAGGATTTGTCTTCCCCTCATGTAAGTCCTGCTAATTCAGCCTGGGCGTTGGGATGTGACTTGTCCCTGCAGGTGCATCCTGAGCTCCGTCCACGGCTCTGGTCTGCTCATATCTGTCTCCTGTCCCCCTGCAGACCTTGACAGCGTCCCATCCTTTTGCTCTCCTTGTGGGGTCTAAAACCACCCCAAACCCCTCCCCACCTTCCCCACTGTAATCCGGTCTGTGAGTCGTCCCGGCCCAGCACAACACAACAAGAGCACACCCAGGAGTTAATCTGGATCATGACGGTAATTACTGCCGGGGTGTCCAGCCTGTAGGAGGGTATTGTCCACTGAAGGGAGGAGTCACAGGCAAAACTACCCACTGACCTTGGAGAAAGCTGTGAGGGAGGGAGAGGGAGGAGAGAAGCACAGGGAAGGAGGCAGATCCAGGCATTAGCATACTGACAGAGTTTCAGCACTGCAGATCTCTGGCTGCCTTCAGCCGCTCTCGCTTTTAGACACAAAGACAGCAGGGAGGAGGACGAGTGGGACAGAAATCCTGTCTGACAGATCAGAGAAGAGGATTCCTTTCCTCTTCTTTTACTGATCACAGCCCAGAATCCAGAAGCTCTCGTGAGTAGCCTCCCATCCACTCCTGACTGTTTGTAGCTGTGTGTGTGTGTGTGTGTTTCTTTTACTGATCACAGCCCAGAATCCAGAAGCTCTCGTGAGTAGCCTCCCATCCACTCCTGAGTGTTTGTAGCTGTGTGTGTCTGTGTGTGTGTGTGTGTGCGCGCTCTGTACGGCTGTAATGAGACTCACATCTCAGGAATTTGAACATGCAACAGGGAGACTTTCTCAACCAGACAGGGTCGTCCTTCCTCGGTGTTTGTTTTGGTAACCGGGGAGCGTGTTTTGGGGAGGAGGCTGCACTTGATGCAGTCTAGTGAGGCTGCATGTCCTGTGCTGCATCTGTGTGTGTGTGTGTGTGTGTGTGTGTGTGCTGCTCCTGTCAGAACATGACATTCCTGTGGTTTGATGACGATGAACGAGCCGATGCTTTCCACACAGCCCACGGTGGTGCCTGTCACAGCCGTAGGCATTGTTGCAGTGGTGCTGCTGTGGGAGGATGTGGTCCTCGCCCTCCTTGTTTACCAGCGTGGCCTCATCTATTATGCAATCCTCTACATGCCGTGCTGTTACATATAGCGCCAGAGCTGCGGCTACCTACAGCATGAATCAATGGCAGCTGACTAATAAAGACACTGCAGCGTCTCCTGCAGCATCCAGCGAGGGGCCGGCTGGCACTGCTGTCACCAAAGGATGTCACTGTTTTCACTTCTGATGTGTCACACCACCAGCAGCAGCTTCTATCATCTTCTCTTTTTATGCCATCAAGTCCAGCTGACATGATGTCTGCAGCTCCCTTCTGCTTTCCTCCCTCCTCCACCTCCTCCATCCCCTCCACCTGCCACTCCAGGTTATCTCTGCCCACTAATTGGGTCGTTTTCTCATTTCTCTGAGACGCAGCCGGACGGGGAGGCAGAGGCTGATTTCTGAGCTGTAGACACTAAAGGTTGTAATGAGAAGGTTAGATTTTTGAGCACATGTGTGTGCCAGTCGCAGACCCGTCTGACGTAACGGAGGAGGAGGAGGAGGAGGAGGAGGCAAGGACCTCCAGCATCGCCTGTTTTCATAACACATGAACAAGCAGCTGTGGGAAAGAGAAGTGAAGGTTAGAGGAGGGTAAAAAAAGAATCTGATGGGCTTCTGTTTTGCCAGTGGCTTGTGCTGCCCTACTTACTGCTGTGTGCCACAAGTTTAGAAGCTGCTGTGGATGCACCGCCACGCTGCAGCGTGTCAGATCCACTAACAGGAGTTTGCACAAACTGTTTCTCGCCTCCCGTCCTCAAGGTCACAGTGCAGGTTATCTCTTGCTGCCTCCCTCCCCGCCAGGCTCTACTGTATCAGAAGACACAGTGCGATATTGTGTGCTCGCGCCGTGCTGAGTAGGAGGCAGCGCTCATGTGATGTTCAAGGGGGAGGTGAATAGCTGTCATTCATGGGAGAGTGCCCGTTTGCTCGGCAGCTGCCCTCCTGCTCTGACTTCAGACACTGATCCTGCCTGTCAGCTGCTGCCGGGCGTCTTCCACCGGCCGGACCGTTGTCGTCCCCTCGGCCCGAGAAGTCGACATATCAAACATGTTTATTGTGCTCGGTGGGGCGACATGTGAGATTACGTCAGTTTGATAAAGAACCATGAGTGTTGTCATTCAAAATCAAGGAGATGAATCCACAGTTTATGCAGGAAGAAGTGTTTTGTTCATGTTTTGTGTTAGTTTTTTATTGGTAACTAGGATGAAGTGCTCGTCTTGTGGTTCGTCCACACCCCCAGATTAAAACATGCTAACAAGCTGCACAATATAAACACTCATGTAAAAGCAGTATATCCCACATATGGAGCAGCGTCTGTGGTATTTTGCTAAACTTTACAAAGCTAGCCGGTATGCTGCAGCTGATCCTCTGACGGTGCTAATCCCTGCTGGCAGACACTGGATCTCTCTGCACTGCTGTCCTCCTGCAGACCACAGCCTCTGGATGCTTTCAGGACAGTTTGCAGCAGCAGCAGAAATCCTCAGTGTGACTGTTTACGTGGGAGAAGCAAGTCAAACCATCAAAAACATGTTGGCTCCACCGTTGTTTTGCAGCAGAAGTGCCGACTAAGTGATGATAAATATGATGAAGGAATGAAAAGGGGCAGATTTTATGCATTTCCAACACATGCTGACAGTCCTCGTCCATCTTCTTTTACATCACAGAGTTTGTGTTTGGGTTGTGTACCATCCGGACGATAATCAGCAGGTAATCCTGTTAAGCTATTATTTGTCTAAAAGCTTTGGTTTGGCCAACAGATGGACGCTGCAGGGGTGTGTTTGGGTTTGTCTGGTTGCTCTTTGCTGGATCACGGCTGACTGCAGAAATAACTTGGCCAGTTTTCTTTTTTTAATCATGTCTTCTGCTTTAGGGCATGTCAGATTAGCTGTGGAGGTAAATGAAAGGGGGTTTGTATTGTTGCAGCAGCATCATTATTGGATCCCTGTAGACATGTGGAGAGGCTGTAACTAAACATTGCTCTATAAATAATCACAGAACTAGCGTCTGTATCTGACGGAGCGACCGCAGAATCCAAAACACTTTGGGTAACGTGACATGAGTTCACTGGGAAAGATGGTTGAAAACATTCACAACAACAAAAAAATCATTGTTAGCCTCATTTGAAGCAGATTATGTTGGATGTGTGCATGGTTTACTCTGTTAAAGTGTGTTACCGCCCGTCCCTTCATGTTCCTCCTGAGCTGGGAGCTGCAGTTTAGCAAAGCTCATCAGCAGACATCAGCGAAACCGAGTTGCTGCGTTCAGCATCCACTGACGGATGAATGGGTGGAGGGAGGAGAAGAGGGGAAGGAGAAAGAAATCCTGCTTTACTCTGTGACGGCATATTTGAATTTGAGACAACAAAATCTTTTTGAGTTTATCTTTGTGATCTGGCAGCCATGTTGGAAAAGCTTTCAGACTTTCAGCAGCCAGAGTTTTGGTCGTCACCACTTCTGTCAGTTCAATGAATGAAGCAGCCACAAAACATTATTTTATACAATGAGCTCCACAAATATGTCGATATCTGGACACTTAAACACAAATATGAACTGTTTCCTAGTGTGGAATAAATACTCTGAGCCAAATCAACATAAAACACGCAGATAAGCTCAATTTACTGATTCAGTTTTTTATTCTCCCCCATCATCAGATGTGCACATTATAAATGAAATGATGCCTGATTATGAGCTCATCGCTCCAGGACAGAAACACGATGTTTTCATGCCCTGCTCTGACTCAGTCGTGACTCTTTTAGATGTTTTTCCGGCTCTGAAGGACTTGAATTAGTGCTCCACTTTGATCCTGGAGCGTAGATGAATGTTACGAGCCTTCAGGGAGTTTTAGGGAGTTTTAGGGACACAGCAACAGAGAACAAGACCTTTACACAAAGATCAAAGGGAAAAAGAAGAACTATAACCACTGAATATGATTTGAAA